CTGTATGAAAATAAATAAAAGTAAAACTAAAATACTGGTATGCAAGGGAAGAAAAAGTAGGGAAAGAGCGAATATAAAGATAGGAGACGAAAAATTAGAAGGAGTGGCTGATTTTAGATATCTAGGAAGTCAGATAAGTCAGGATGGAAGGAGTAGTAGGGATATAAAGCAGAGGATAGCACAGGGTCATGTCGCCTTTAACAAAAAGAAGTCACTTCTGTGCTCGCGAATGGTTAATTTAGAAATTCGAAAAAAGTTGTTAAAGGTGTATGTTTGGAACACGGCGTTGTACGGGTGCGAAACATGGACAGTGGATGCGGCGGAAAAGAAAAATGATGAGGATATCGGAAGGGAAGATTGGAAATCAAGAGGTATTAGAAAGAATAGGAGAACATAGGACTATGGAAGTCAGTAAAAAATAGGCGAGATAGGTTGGTAGGACACCTTCTCAGGCATGAAGGTCTAGTCAGAGATGTATAAGAAGCAGAAACGGTAGCTAGGAGGGGTGGAGGTAGACCTAGATTAGACTACTGGTCGCAAATAGTTAAAGATGTGGGCTGTTCCAGTTTTAGGGAAATGGGAAGTTTAGCTCAGGATAGGAAAGAGTAGAGGTACGTGTCCAACCAGTCTTAGGACTGACGACCTTATGATGATGATGATGATGAGTACCTAGATACCTATTAATAACATTATACTAACCTGAGGCATGTATCCTATTCTAGGACCAGGAACTCCACTTCCTTTCGAACCTGGCGTGCCACCCAGGACCCATATTTCTCCGGAATTTAACCTTTTTCGACCTACTATACAACTTAATAAAGTTGTTTTACCACAGCCACTGGCACCTAGTAAGCCGTATCTTGAAATAAAATTTTTCAATTTCAAACGAAATATTCGCTTTGGTTTCCATTTTCAGTAAACAAAAAATATACGCTTTGGTTGGTTTTAATTCTGAATTTAAATTTAATTGTTAATTATTGAATCAACAATAACAAAACAAAATGCAATGTGATGCAGGTAAAATTCTGTCGAATTAAAAATCTGAAATATCATCTGGTGTTTTTTTTTTAGAGATAGCACTCTAGTCTTATGTAAAAATTTTTAGAAAAATGTGATAATTTGGATCTTCTGTAAGTAATACATATTTAAATATCCACATTCGTAGTCGTGACATTGAAACGACTGATTTTTATTTTATTAGTCTAAAATTACAACACTTATAGTAAAGTCAGTAGTTATTTTGATTGTTTTTGAGTTAATCCGTTAGTAACAACGTTCTCTATTTTAATTGTTCCATTCGATAGAATCATAAAATATAATTAACAATCAAAACTAAAACCAATTAGCTAATCCAATATGGAGTTTCTCGCTTCAAGCTTATTCAAATGTTTAGCAAGACGCAGAGTTCAGAGTTCTCCGAATTAAGAAGTTTTAATTTTTCTGTCTAATTATCAGTAATTTTGAATCAGATTCTCTTTTTTATTTATTCTATTCCATGGAATCGTCAAATATAATTAACAATCAAAAATAAAACCAATTAGCTAATCGAGTCTGAAATCTCTCGCTGCAAGCTTATTCAAATGTTTAGGAAGACGCAGAGTTTAGAGTTTAGAGTTCCCTGAATTAAGAAGTTTTAATGTTTCTGTCTAATTACCAGTAGTTTTGAATCACATTCTCTTTTTTGTTTATTCTATTCCATGGAATATTCAAATATAATTAACAATCAAAAATAAAACCAATTAGCTAATCGAGTCTGAAATTTCTCGCTGCAAGCTTATTCAAATGTTTAGGAAGACGCAGAGTTCAGAGTTCATAGTTCCCCAAATTAAGAAGTTTTAATTTTGCTGTCTAATTATTTATTAATAATTTTGAACCACATTCTCTTTTTAATTTATTCCAATCCATAGAATCATCCGATATAATTAACAATCAAAAATAAACCAATTAGCTAATCGAATTTGAAATTTCTCGCTGCAAGCTTCTTCAAATGTTTAGGAAGACGCAGAGTTCAGAGTTCCCTCAATTAAGAAGTTTTAATTTTTCTGTCTAACTATCAGTTATTTTGAATCACATTCTCTTTTTTGTTTATTCTATTCCATGGAATCTTCAAATATAATTAACAATCAAAAATAAAACCAATTAGCTAATCAAGTCTGGAATTTCTCGCTGCAAGCTTATTCAAATGTTCCGAGTTCTCTGAATTAGGAAGTTTTAATTTTTCTGACCGATTACTTACATTGACCCTTTTGGTACGGTCATATTCAAACCGTCTAGAATAACAAAAGGATTTTTCTTCGTGCCATATCTTTTGTACGCTCTTCTGACACATACAGCTTGTTGTCGTCGTGTGTGGAGAGTTGAAGGCTGTGACTTCAGTTGTCTCCTTCGTAATTCTAAAGCTGACCCTGTGTTATCCTCTACAGTCATTTTAAAGCGTTCTGCAATAAAAAAGACAATTCTAAAGTAATTTAAATGCGTAGTAAATATGCACGGACATTAATATTAATTACCCTTTTATGAAAAGCGTACATACTTAATGACATTTTTCGAAATAGAATATGAACGCAAAAACACTAATGGCTTACCTTACCTAACGCTCATCACATAGATAGAATACTACATCCGTAGGTAAAAATGATTGTTACTACATTAAAAACACGTGTAATATATTTACAATTAGTATGACATGATAATGAAGTAGAATTTAAAATGTCTTCATAAAGTCAACGACTTGTAATTTTGAATAGAGAAAATCTTAAAAATATATATTTGTCATTGACTATTGATATATATCTATATTAATTCGTACAAGAATAAAAACTGATAAAATCGACGAAAGCGCAATAGTCCTTGCAGGGTAAGAAATCCCATTTACTCCTTATATATCCTTCGCGAGATTTGCACCCCTACCTTCGGGTAGGGAAGCAATTCACTCCCGGAAAAGGATAGTGTAGTTTGGCATCATAAAATAAACAATGCTGTTAATCATATTTTAAGCATTTGGACATTCGTTAAGTGCAATGAGCACACATCATAATCTACTTGAGACAGTTTTTTACAAAACAACTGGTAGACTCCTTACAAACAGTCAATCTTCTTGGGTTAGATGTTGACCTTTTCTGTGGTCTACATTTCGTTTTATAGTAAATAAAATTGAAATATTATAGCAAATATTTTATTCAACTAATTCAGTCAACAAATTTCATTTCTTTATATTTGAATTTGTGTTTTACGAATTTATTTATAAAATGGTTTAAACTCTTTTTTTAATATTTATTTTAGTTAGATTCCTGACCGTTACTATTAAATTTAATTTTTTTCAGGGTGGCGGTCAAATAATTACACAACTATTTGTTTAATCTAACGTTTCGGTTTATTTAACCATCTTCAGACTGTTAGAGTGTTATTGCTTATAATATTTTTATCTTGTTAAACAACTGCATACAAACATACAGTTGTGTAATTATTTGACCGCCACCCTGGAAAAAACTACATAATTTAATATTTATTGTTCATTTTAATGGTTACAACGTCTCGTATCGGCACATCTTGTTGCAACTATTGCATTAGAAGGCAACAAAGTTTGCGTAATAAAATATTTCTTACTAAAGTTCAATGTAATTATGATTTGTTATTAATTTTCAAAATTCCTATAAATAAGTACTTATTTCTACGTCTGTAGTTTAAACTCTAAATTAGCATGTCTCAGCTAAACACTGGGTATATTTCGTCATTTACATTAGTATAATTATTGCAGTAATGAGAAACCGATATTTACCTGCAGTTACTAAACAACTAATTGATAAACGTCACTTAGATGTCACCAGACCTAAAATCATTTTCTAATATCTATACATTTCGTTTTATTAAAAAAAATATTATTATTTCATCTGATAACCATACGAAAATTATTAAAATTAAAGGGAGTTTTACTCAAATTTCGAAGCTTTTGTATAATTTCTTTTTTAATTTTTCTAATTATGATACTCATTACTTACAAACAACTTCAACTTATGACTTTTTTTACACATATTTATATATAATTAGCATCACACGTATATGTAGATCTATTGATGTTACTAAGACGTTACCATAACTTTATTAAATACAATCTTTCGTCACAACAACTAAATTTTTATAATTGCATTATTTGACGTGCAGGTAATTGATTCCTTTTTATTTTTTCATTATCTATCCATAATTAATCAACTATAATTTCCACTTAACTTCACGACGATTTACTATTTATGACAATCGACTCTAGATCCTATACAGAAAAACTTTTCAATTTTCGTAATTGTGTATACGGCTAGCTATTACCTACGACTTCGTAATAAAGCATATAATTCAAGACTCAATACAAAGCAACCCTTTACAACTCAATCGATTCAGAGCCATACAGGGTATCCCTATCAGGTTCCTGTAAGGTAGCTCGATCCGAATTGGAAAATAGACAATAATGAAATTACTAGTTAAGATAAAAGTCGTAAAAAATTTAGGTATTTATAAAAGACTCAAAAGACATTTCACGATAAAATAATTGGGCAAAGTTTAACACTTTTATTGTATAAAAGATTTTTACAAATAAGTTTGTGTTAAGCCAATTGTAAGTAACTTTTTAAAGTACCTACAACGGAGACTTCAATAGTAGATCAAGACACTAACCTCTTCATTGTATACTAACTGTTCCGTGGCTTTGTCCGCTCGGTATTTTTGCCAATTTATGAACTAACCTTCACATATACCTTTATGTTAACACGGATTTTTTACACGTCTTTTTAATCTCTAAAACTTGGGCATAGAAATATAATAACATGTACAATAAAAAATTAAAATATGTTAACAGGGACAATGCAAAGCTTGATGTAAAAACACAATTTTGCAATATTTCGTCAGTAACTTGTAACCGTTTACTTTAAATTCTTATTAAAAATGTTAAGGTATTCCTTACTTTTTTTTGAAGGTAAAAGTTAAATAACAACCCAAAGAAAAAAATTCTTTATCAAAAATATACTACGATTAACTACAAAGTCTACAAAACTTTCGATAATCAGTACTACGTTCTGAATTCCAATTATGCCACACATTAATAAAACATATTAAATATTTCATTATTTAGATGCATTTTAGAATTCTCTATACAGTTTCGATATAAAAAGAACAATTGACAAAGGTAACGTTTTAATGTTTTAACCTTTCACGATGTATCTGTATTCATTTAAAAAATATAAATTATAAACATATGCTAAAGAATAAGCGAATGGGTTCTTCTGCAGACAATAACTTCAACAACTTTGCTTGTATATATAATATGGTGTAAAATGCCTACTTAATGTCAAGTTGAATAGTAATATAAACAATTAACACATTCACAAAGAAGAATAATAAAATGAACCAGCAAAAAAAGAACAATTTTATTTATTAACTTTATATTTATGATAGTGAATGTTTCAACAGGTTTTGATTAAAACTTTTAATATACAATAAAGAGTAAATACACATACATTACTGTTAATCCTTTCTCAAGAGTACGAAAGTTACTCTGGATGAACTAAATGTCTAACGTTATGCGATAAGCCATAACAAATACCATAAAATAACATCTATATGCAACTATTAAGGGTATATGAAAACCAACTACTTTTTATAGGTAGTATTTTAAATATAAGTTGAACTATTAGAAGATATTTAAATACGTGCGTCAGATACAAATACTTAACATAATCCTTTTTATAGGATAATGGAATTTGAATGATCGCATTATTTCTAGATTTGCACTAAAGCAAATCTATTCTTGATATTAAATATCCGAACAATAATAAATAATATTAAATCTCAACATTATTAAACCCCCAAGTTGAGTATATACTTACATACAAAACAGAATACTTTATTTATTATTTTACTAAAGATAGCAAACATTTTAAATATTTTAATGCACATAATCGGGAAACTTTATCAAGGGAAGTTAACAAAAAATTAAATATATGTAGCTCCCTTTTAATTAATATCTGGTAATTCAGTTACAATATCATTTGAACACAATTTTTATTTATCATGATTGGCCTTCCTGAAACATATATAATTGACATAGCTAAGTACTATTTTTAATCAGTTAGTTTTTTACGTCGTTTAGATAAATAATGATTTTATGAGAGGTACAAGAAATTGCTTTGACATAAATTCTATAATTGCTGAATTATGCATTACCTTTGTTGGGCAAAGACGGATTCTATGAGCCCGTATAGACGTAGGTAATGACGTAATCAATAACTTTTGAGATAAATGTGTAATTAACGGTAAATCGTTCCAATATGGCTTGAAATTATTAATAATTTTATAGTTCTTATCTTACATTTATGGTCACCTCCGCTCCTGATCTCAGAAAAAATAAACCCCTGTTTACGTAATAGTTGAATACCGTATATCCCCTAAGGTGTTGGTACATCAAAATTTCGGGAAATTTTTGTTTTGTAAATTTTAAGAAACATCTCTAGAATTTCTTAATTTTGCCAAAAATATTACCACATTACAAATATCAAAAATTACAGAGGTTTTTAAACTGCAAAAGTGAAAATGTTTAATTTAAATAACACTAATTGGCTCATAAACAATTTTGTACTTAATGATTGTGAACAATTACCTAATTGTAAACTACATATTTAAGAAATGTACACATGCATTAACTACAGTTCAAATACGTAATTCAATTTTAATTTATATCTACATCAAAAGTATATACAAGGCAGTAAACGAAAACCTACATAAAACGAAATAGGCATTTATTATACATTTCGTCATCAGTTTTGACATTGTCGATTTCGAAGATGTCCTTCGTGTGCTTTTCGTTGTATTTGCATATTTCTGTAGACCTAGGCATCTTATACAACTCCACTCAGGGTTATTTCCAAAAAGAAAAAAAAACCAATACTCATTCTTTTAGTTTAGATAGGTACCAATGAGTAATCTAAACCAGTTTCTTGTAATTTCTTACGTCTAAGGTCTTTTATGTCATTTAACTAATTGTGAGATGCGAAGTCCAAAATTACTGTCGAGGTGAACCGGTGGATATTAATAATAAAGGTAAAAACATTAAGTCGAAACACGCAAACAAGTTACTTTTTAATTACTTCATAATTAGTTAGTTGAAATTTGAATATTCCTTATGAGCAATAACAAATATATTTACAATTTCCTTAAACGCGTCATCAAAGAAAAACTTTTCCCGAAATATATAAATAGATTTTTTTACAACAAATAGTGATTGAAATTGCAACAATACTAAAAGTTTTGATAGTTTAATTAATTAAACATAAAATCTTTTTTAATTATTATCGTATTTCTCTCATAAATAATTTATTTCAAAATAACTGAAAAACTTTTATATTCATATTATAGTTAATTATTTGTTACGATGTAGAACCCAAAAAAGCTCTACTTTTACAAATTAAAAATGTTTAAAAAAAAATAGTTTTAATAGTTTATTTCTCAATA